CAGTTTCTCGGTGAACGAACATTCCAGCTTTTCACGCATGTCAAGTGACTGCCCTCACCCCCACCCCCTAGACTGGCTACACTCCCCCTGGCTCGGAGTTACCCTAGCTTTCTGGAAAAACTGCATCATGATGCCCCCCCCCCCTAACTGGAAAATAGACCCTAGGTCGGCATCGGTTGGTACGGTAGGAGAGTAATGACGCAAGTGGTGCAGCTGGTCCAGCAGCTCCGCCAGAAGGGCTGGTTTGCTCACCCCAGGACTAAGCCTTGGAGAGGGACGGACCCGTCCTCTCTCCTCTCTTTAAGGCTTAGTTCTGAGGTAAGCACCAAATTGAGGCGGTTCTAAGGACCGAGTTGAAGTGTCCGTCGACCGTCGGGGACCCCATCCCCTCCCCAACATTCAGCATACGGTCCCAGCAGAAACGCCAAAAGGGCTGGTTTGCTTACTTCCCAAAAATGCGCTTTTTTACCTTGCTTTTGTTTTTTTGATAAATTTAACGGCACTTTTGCGTAATTTTCGCAGTCATATTCGAAAAGCTTTTTGAATGGACGGAATAAATAAAAACTAGTTAAACGCTTATTCGAGTTTGAGGCCACCCCACGGTGTCAGTTGGCGTGTGTGATGGTCGCAAGCCGTCGGCAGTAGATTACGACCGAGGTCGCAGGGACGGCAGCGCACGGCGGGAGCCTCAAAAATTTGAATCGTTCATATCTTATCTATCGAGCACTATTTTTTACTGTTTCTAGATGCACTTTGTTTCCTATTTTAACGACAACTAATACTTGCTTTGAATCGCTAACTCTTTCTTTATAAAGCAGGTAGCTCAGCAGCGGTGTTGTTTTTTCTTTCGTATAAATAGAAACATAATCTTTACTAATGACCAACCGATGTACTAAAAATATATTCAAAGTGCAAGCGTACTTTTGTACTGAATAAATAAGGCGATGATTCATAAGGTATGATACATTTCGAAAATGCTACCATGCATATTGATTTTCTTTTTCGTAACAACGAAAAAGGCTTCATGTGCGTGTTCCTTTTTCCCTGCGTTTTTTTATTACACTGTATATGAAGCCTGGTTCAGTTCAGGCTGAACTTATTTTCATTCATAATTTTGATACTCTTTGGAAATTTGCTTCGCTCTTGATCTTTAACCTATTACTAACATGTTTTTGAGAGATTATGTCAGAAATAATTCAGTTCCACTAATAAGTGTCCAAACGCTTGTAGCAGGGATTTGTAATGGCTCACTATGTTTTAATTCTTTTTGACGATTTTCTGGTTTGATAGGTTTGCTAACTATTGATGCCTTTTTCTTTTTGTAAATAATTTAAAAATTTTATACAATGGAGGCTAATTTTCTT